GCAGCAGAAGGAAATGTCTGCTGGCTGTAAGCTGCAGAGCCGCAGCCAAGGGCCCAAGGGCGAGGAGGGGAGCAGCTGAGGGGCGTCTCCTTGCCGCCCGAACTGGGTCCCAGAGGAGCCAGGAGAGACTCCCAGGGGAGAGGCTGTGAAGGTCCCACTGGGAAGAGCTGGGTTAGGGCTGGGGTGGCTGTGCTGGTGGAGGGACAGAGGATGGCTGGGAGAGTCCAGGGCTGGCGGAAGACACCAGGACGGTGAGAACAGAGCCACGTTTTTACAGATTCAGTGCATGGGCCTGACGTGGACGACGTTGTGGCTCTTGCGCTGCGTTTCGGTTAATGAACTAGGATGGACTTGAGGACATGCTTGTATTGGACTTACTGGGCCCTCAAGAGGCACCGGGTGAGGCCACTTGCAGGGCTGCCCTGAGGCCAAAAGGGGGCGCCTAGGAGGAGGCCATTTGATTGCACCCCTATATATGCCAAGACCCGAACCCTGGTTATTTGTTAAATCTCATGATTTTGGGGGGGCCTGACTCAGGACTTCTGGGCGCTTGTGGTTGGCCTTGCTGTTTTTTCCTATTAACTGTGCTGCAGTAATGTCTAGAGACCCCTGCGAAGCCAATTGTGCAGGGTGCTGTATGAACGAATCAGAGACCGTCCCTGCCCTGAAAAAACTTGTTGCTATCGCATTGCAGGGGCACCTGGGAGCCCCAGTCCCCGGGCAGGACCCCTCTGTGCTTGTTGCAGAATAAGAAGCCAGTCCCTACTCTAAACTGACAAGCCGGCAGAGGGTTAAGTGGGAAGGGGTGGTACGCAGCGGGACCTAGCACAAGCTCCCCTTGTGTTCCTGTGAAGCACGACACCTTCCCAGCCCCCTCGCCAAAAAGTCTCTCCAGCCACCAAATCTCATGTTTCTTGCTTAAAACACTGGATTCTTCCAAGCCATTCAGAGCCCTTCACATTTGCGCCTTCATCTTGACCACGCCCTGGGTGCTGACAACGGCCCTTTATCCCCAGAGCGTTCGCGGTGCTTCATGTGACCCTCTCCCCTCCAGGCGTCGCATTCACTCCAGTTGTTTGATGTGATAGTGCTTTTATTTTTTAAAGTTTCAGGACACCCGAGTCCTGCGCGGCGGGATAAGAGGACTATTGAGAGAGCGGCTTTCATAGCCCCGCTTCCCCGTTGGCCACAGGGTGGATGATGGGCTGAGAAGGGCGTAATGTGGGAGAGTCTGGGAAACCCTTGGGCAGGGGTGTGTGTGGAGTGTGGCTGCTGTTTCTGAAGTCTGCTCCTCAATGTATTGCTGAGTGAGATTTATCATCTCTCACACACACACACGCACGCATCAAAACACACAAGCCGGCGCCATACATGCCCATACAAACCCAAGGAGACGTTATCAGCACAGCACACTGAGTGTTGCCAAGTGTAACCCTAGCCTCATCCTCGGGGAGGACCATCCGCCCACGCTGGGGCTATACACTGTGTCCCTCTGCCAGCAGCATCCCTGCCGTAGAAGCTGGTTGCTCCATAGTTGTCTCCTTTCTCCCAGGGCTTGATTGTCCTCATTACTTTTTGATGGGGCGGCGTGTGTGTGTGTGTGTGTGTGTGTGTGTGTCTTCCACGATTCCTGACAAATCCAGGGAATATCCAAGAGGCCTCGTCTACCCTTGGCTTTTCCTCCAAAAGTTTCCCACCATTGCTAACTAACAGTGGTTCAGTTCCATCAGGCATAGGGATGGTAGGAGCTTGGTCCCAAGCAGCCACTGGCCTGCTCATTGAGTCCAGCTAGGCAACATGCTGGTTAAAATTCCAGCCACTCCAGTGCTCAGGTCCCACCGCGATGGGCGCCGTTTAAGAACCTGTGGAGAAAAGTACCGTTCAGGTGCATCCACGAGGTAGATCTGTCGAGAGAACTGCAGGTGATGGCAGCTCATGGGGCTTCATTACCTTTGAAATGCCCTGAAACCTTTAAAGACACTGGAGGGGAGCTGAGGTTTTTCAAAGAGGGGCTGAGAAAACTCTGAATTAATTGGGAGATTTAATGTTGGAAAGCACAAAGTTAAAGCGAATCACAGCCCAGTATCCCACTAGAGCTTCCTGGTGGGAGGCGCAGGCCTGTTCCCACATAGACAGGAGCTGGGACAGCTTGCCCTATGACACACAGTAACCAGGGGCCGCACAGCCCTTCGCAGGAGGTGGAAAACCCACCTCCCTGCTTCCCACGACTACCCATGCAATAGATACCGGGGCGCTTTTTGAGGAGATCCAGGGACAGCCCCATTGTCCCGCTCTGTGTCACTCAGATCCTGTGCCCAGGCCACGGGAGAGAAGTGGCTGAATGCAGGATGTCTGCCTAGCACGGACCCTCTCTCTGAGGTGGGAAAGCCTTGAGCTTGTGATGTGGCCCCAGCACCTCACACCCTGGCAGATGGATGCAATTCCTGGGAGAAGGCCTGTAGCTCAGGTCCAGACTGGCCCCATCTGCAGCAGTCTCTTCCCAGCAGTCTTGCAGCTGCCCAGGTTTCCACTGGAGCATCTCACAGTGCCGTGCCTCACATTTGGAAATTACCCAAAAGCTCCTGCTCACTGCAACAAGGTTTGGCACCGTGGCATGTCCAGAATGCACGGGTACAACCGTGGCGGTGGTACCAGAACAGTTCTTTTCTCTACAGGTTCCTGTACTGCGCCCATCACCATGGTGTCTGAGCACCAGAGCAGCTGGTATGGTAACCAACATGTCCAACTGCGCAGAATGATACAATGTAAGGGAGCTGTTGTCCTCTCCTTTGAGCTGCCTCAGTGAAACAAGGGGCAGAATGAATAGCCACCTTCAACAGAGACTATTTATCCCCACTCCCCGGCCCCAGGGAGGAAAGAAAGGGCTACAGAGGGTTTCCTGCAAAAGACAGGGTCGTTCGAGGCCAGCTGGGTGGGCACGGAGGGAAGCTGGGCCCCGCTCAACCTTGTAGCTCATGAAAAGTCGTTAGAGACAAGCAGACGCGGTGCCGTGAATGTTCTGCAGTGTTTTCACCCAATTCACTTGGCCTGTGGCTGCACATGCCTCTGGGGTTCACTTGCTGCGAATGTGCCAGGGAGACCGACAGCAGGAGTTTATTATCATCATTGTTATTCTTTGCATCGTGATAGCACCACAGGCCAAGAGCCCAAGGCCCCATGGTGCTAGGTGCTGTACAGACAGAACAAAGGGTCCGTCCCTGCCCCCAGGGCACCACAGTCTCAGCAATCTGTTGGCCTGTCTGCGGCTTAGTGATTTCTGGTCTCTAACTGGAGCCACCTGAAAGAGGCCTGATTTTCATAAAGCACCGAGCACCTGCTCTCTGAAAATCAGGGCCCTTGCATGGGTCTCCGGTGGGGCCCCCAACAGCTGCCTCTGTGAGGATTTGAACCCATGGTGCCTCAGACTGTAGACAGTTTAAAAGCTGGTGCTTAGACCACTCAGACCCAGCATGGCAGAATACGGGCTTCTCGTCCCTGTGTGAGTGCCTCTGCACTTCTTTAACGGCCCCTCCCTTGGAGGATTTTTATCCTCCGCAGGGAATTTGGTGTCATCTCTAAAGGGACACACACACACACACACACAAACACACACCCCCTTGACAGCGCTGGGTTTGTGCTAAGGTGGCTCCTGGTGGTGCCTTTGCATTTCTCGCCCGGCTGCTGATCAGCCTGTGACACGGTGCTGCCGGCAGCACTCAATGCTGTCGGAAGTGTGCAGTACATGACGCTTTCCTGCTGCCGTGGAGGGGTCTATTTCCGTTCTCTCCAGCTGAGCAGCAAGAGCAGCCGCAGGAGCCGCAGCCTGAAAATCCATCGGTGAGTGTCGGCGGTACACTGGGGGGCTGGGGGTATTTGGAATGATACAGGAGACTGGCTGGTGCCAAGGGCTGAAGCCACCTGCTTCCCCTGGGTGCCGGGATCAGGGTGGAGAGCTTATGCCTGTTGCCACATTTGGATCCCTCCCAGGGGGGCTGTTTATTTCTCTTATTGTCGTTAGCAGCTTTAAAGGGATCTAAAAGCAGCAGCACCTCCTCATCCTGCCTCCCACGCGGATGGCGCCAATGCCCCGGTTCGTGATCCCTGGGGGGGCCGTGTGTGTGTGCATGTGCTGATTGCCTCTCTGATTTCATTCACAGGGGCCGCACTGCACGGGGAAGGGTTTTGCTCAGGTCCATCTTAGGGCTGAGATAGGCAACACTTTATGACACACACACAGAGCACAACAATTTCCCCCCACCCCTTTGAATAGCCAAGGGCTGGGCGGGCTATGATGCTGTCAGATTGTACAGGGCGCTCTGCCATAGCTGGGTATCCAGGCCAGCTCTATAGCCATGTGGGGATGTGCGGGGGCATTGAATCCAGCAGTCTCATAATCCCTGATCACATCTGTTCAGTTGCCCCCTCCCTCCCTCTGCATAGATTATCATGCACATTAAAAGCCTGTTCCCTTCCTCCTCTCCGGGTAGCTCTTTCCCTTGCCTTTCCCCTAAGCTGCTTACAGAGCTGGCCAGTCCAGGGAGCTGTGTGATTTGGGGAGAAGGAACCAGCAATTGCTTTTTTCAAGCTGAGGGAGGGAAGGGGAAGGACGTGGATCCCCTGCAGACATCCCACAAGGCAGGGCTTTGGGGTTCTTGGATCCCGCCGCCTCTGTGACTCCCCCTCCATCTCTGTGGCAGGATCATTCAGCACCGCTCTCTTCTGCACCTCTGGGCACTGTGCATCACATGCTACCAGCACATTGTGCTCTCTGATGCGGTGTGCGTTCACACACACACACACACACACACACACACACGTCTCTGCTTGCCATGGAAACCTTGCCATAGCAACCATGCCGGAATCCAAATTTAAACGGGCAGGGTAGGTGAGTGTGTCACCCCTTCCTGGTAGCCCAGCAAATGGGCCTGATTCTCCTCTCCCTGCATCAGTCTTACAGCAGCGTCGCTCTTTTGTCTTACATGGTGCTAATTCTGATTGACACCAGCGTGAATGGGAAAAGGATCAGGACTATGGTGCAGCGAGGGTCCAAACCTGCAGTAACTGCGGTAGGATGTAGGATGTGACACCCCCGTCCTTCTCCCTCGCGTTGTCATTTCCACTGGTGCAGAGCGGGTGCTTCCCACTCCCTTACCCCAGAGGGTACATTTGGCCCTTGCTTTGCACAGGTGTCAGTGACCAGCCAGGGGGACAGCAGACGAGATTCAGGCCTGTTGGGCCCTTGCTGTACCCTCACAACACCCCTGGGAGGGAAGGAAGTTCAATGATCCCCAGTTTACAGATGGGAACTGAGGCCCAGCACCGCCGCAGTTGGCCTGGGTCAGCTGACTCGGGCTTGTGAGGCTCAGGCTTCAGGGCTGAAAACTTGCTGCATAGAGTTTGGGCTGGGGCTGGAGCCGGGCTCTGGGACCCTCAACCCAAGCAGGGTCCTACAGCCCCAGCCCGACCATTGACACAAAATGTTTAGCCCCTTAGCCCGAGCCAGCTGTCCTGGGCCAGCAGCGGCCATGCTGCAGGGCTTGTATCCCCTGGAGACACACCTTGCACAACGTCACCGAGAAAGTCTGAACCCAGGTCTCCTGAATCCCAGAGGAGAACATTAAATGCTGGACTATTGCAGAGGGGGGGAAACTATTTTTTTTTGGGGGGGTGCTCATTTTATTTGGAGGGAAACTTGTGGCTTTTAGCCCCCACATATGATCTACTAGGGGGACTATTATCCTGGTTCTAAGTACCCAGACATTTAAATCTGCCATTCCCTCACTGAGACATGACAAAGATAAACAAAAGATGCCATATTTGTGAGGCCTACTAAAAAACAGTGATATTGACCAGGGCAGGACTGAGTGGGCAAAGCCTGCCCAATCACTTCCTACCCAGGAGTAGTCCTTCCTTTGCTCATTCACCAATTTTTTAATGAAAAGAAAGGGCTGCTACGCTCTGTCTTTCTTTAAAACTGTGATCGTGTTCTCCTGGATTTTCCTGCAGGTGAATTTCTTTCGCATTGTGATGAAGCTGGAAGATTGCATCCAACTCTGCTCAGAGCCCTAGTCAAAGTTTTAATTAAATTTTTTTTTTACTAGTTCCAGTTTGCAACTTGGTTTCGTAATGAGGGAACAGGTCTGTTGGGGCTACTGGTTTTGGGAGGGCTATTGGCCCATTATTTAAAATCAAACAGAGACCAATAGAACTCAGCAGAGACCTTATTAAAATAATCTAATGGGGTCCTATGGAATTGCATCTGGGAAGCTGAACACATTTTGAGGAATTTAAAAAGAAAGTCTTTAAAGGGAAGTGATTTTAATCCCATGCTTATGGAGAATCTTCTGTAGTTCTCACTTACGGATGGTAGCAGGGATGTATTTGTAAACTGTTTTATGTTTCCAGCACTTTTCTCCTGCATCAGACAGTTCTTTAAAAGACTTATCTCCTGCTTCCGATTGGTGCAGGGAGAGTATAGTCTTAGAAGATACCTATTTAGGGAGATTAATCCAGACAGAATGTTGCTACATATCAGATCAGACGTGTCCCTTTGCTTGGCGGAATCACACAAGTCATTTAAAGTGTCGCTGTCCTTTCAGCACTTTCATTTAGCAGAGAAGGAACCAGAATCCATCATCACTCAGTCACAGGGGGAAAACCACAGTCAGCTGGGGAATGATGCAATAAAGCCCCTCGTTAGGGCAAACAGGGTTAAACCACTGACTCATTTAATAATATCAACACCTAATATCACATCTCAAGATGTTTATAGCATCAAATCCTTCCAAAGAGCCTCACAAACTGTTACATGCACAGAATTCACTTCATTTATTACTTACAAGCAGCCACCTCTGGGGTGGAACATGGCAGCTGGACAACAGCCCATAGTAATTCTACATTCCAGTTTAGTACAGGAAGCTAAGGAAAGCGTGGGTGGTGTTCTCACTGACTTCAATGGAGTTACTCGGATTGATACCAGCTGAAAATCTGACCCTGGGATTGGATGACATAAGCTATTGAGGATTTCCTGGGTTTACTAAAGTAGCCCAGAAACTGCTTGAGAGGAGCTGCTCTCGAGGGGAAGGCCGCAAAAACGCAAAAGGAAAAGGGGAAAAAACCTCTTATGCCACAATCATTTTCAAACAACTTGGGATGCAGGATCTAAATGGAGCTTGGGCAAAGTTTTGCATCGGTTCTTGTTTCAGCCAACCAGTGTCCCCTCTCCGCTAACAGGGGGGCTGGATCCTCAGCGGGTGTCAAGTGCCACAGCCAATGGGGCTGTGCTAACATACACCAGCTGAGGATTGGGCCCAAGGTGACCAGACCACTGAGGGTTCCCGACAAGAAATTAAGGTTTCTGTTCTGCCTGGCTCCCTTCCGACCTCCCTATATAAACCAGACTTCCCCTCATCCACTTAGACAGGGGAGCAGGCGCTCACCTTGCCACCAGGGGGAGTCAGAAATGGCCAGCTCCACTCCATCCCATGAAACCACCGTAAGAAATAGCCCAGGTAGGTTTTAAACACTTTTGAGATCTTTTATTCTAATATTTGCCGTGCCAGGATGTGAGTGCACCATATACTGGAGCCAAATGCTGATGCATGGAGACAAGGCATTACACCACTGTCATATCTCACTTTACCAGACCTTGCCAGGCCAAACTAGGGGCCCGATCCTGTTCTCATCAATGTCATGGGAAGAATTGTGTCCTAAGTTACCGTACTCCAATACCCTCTACATTGCTAGGGCTTACCATACCATTCCCATTCCAGAAATGGGCCAAACCTAAAACCTGGAATCTGAGCTTCTACAAAGTTTAGGACACAGATCTGAAGTTTACATTTGTCCCCTAACACTACCATGGACCCAACCAAAATCCCACAAGCCCCCAAACTTCAGGCTAGAAGCTAAACATTACATCTTAGGCCATATCAACCCGGGTCCACCTTAGGGTACCATCCCATTCAAGGCCAGACCAGACGCTCCTCTCTTTCCTCCCTGGTTTGGGCTGACATCAGTCTCTTGGGCCTGTTTCTCCTCTTACTCATGCTGGTATGAATCCGCAATAACTGTCCTGAAGTCAATGGGGTTACTGCAGTGACAAAGCAGAGCACATGACAGCAGAATCAGGCCCCTTGAGCTCAGGAGAGTTAGAAGTCGGGGAACGGTAGAGCTGGGAGGCCAGGCTGATCCTGGGAACTCAGACCAAGATCCTTCCTTCACATCAGTTCTTTCTCTCTCTTCCCAGCCGGGAGGGTGGAAGGATGTTTGCAGTGTGCCAGCAAGACATCCCCCTGAACGCTCCGTTCCATGAGGGCAAGCGGGACCCCACGCTGGGCACGGCCTTCCTCGCTGAACGGGAGCTCAGGCAGGACAAGAATTTCAACTTTGTGGCAGAAGGGTATGACAGCAACGAGAACTGGAGCCAGGCGGTGGTTGGGACCCGGATGGAGGGGGGCTCCGGCCAGATAGAAAACACGACAAATCCAGCCGATAATCTGGTGTTATTAATGCAGAGACAGACAGCTCAGGGCAGGCTTAGGGACGCTGCCCGAGGGCTGAAGTCAGACGAGCTGGGCCTCTCTGAGGAGGATGTGCGCAGCCCCCCCAAGGGAGCCGAGCTCAGCGGTGCCGAGAAGGAGAAAGCGGCTACCGAGGACACGGCCAAAGAGTGTGGCAAATTGGCTGGCTCCCCCTTAGAGGACAATGGCTATGCCAGCAGCTCCCTCAGCATCGACAGCCCCGACAGTAGCACCGGCAATGCCTGGGAGGCACCCGCTGCTGCCACCAAAGACCTGAGGAACCAGCCAGCGCCTCAGGGGCCCGACGCTGATCCCGAAAACTCCTCCGACTCAGACACTGTCTTCCCGGTGCTGGCCGAGGCCTTCCAGAACCTCCAGGACAAGATGAGATTCAAGGAGCGGGAGAAGGAGAAACACCACATCCACCTGGTGATGTATCGGCGCCTGGCCCTGCTGCGCTGGATCCGCGGCCTCCAGCAGAAAGTGGTGGACCAGCAGAACCGGCTGCAGGAGAGCTTCGACACCATCCTGGACAACCGCAAAGAGCTCCTCCGGTACATCCAGCAGGGCGTGGTGTGCCCCAAAGCACCGGCTCACGCTGGCCTGTGAAAGACACTCATCCCCCATCTGTCACCGTTCAGATCCCCCCCAACCCCTTACCCGGCTCTAACCCATTGTTTCGCCTGAGCACAGCATCCAGGATTGGGACCCACAGAGCTTTGCAGTCAGCTCCCAGGTTCCGCACGGGAGGCTGGCGGGAGATGCTCTCGCCTTATGCACCCAGGGATTTCGTGACGCATGAGGCCACTAGACCTGACGAACGCCACGTGGTATTTATGAGCTGGCACAACGTAGCTAGAAGCACGTTCCCGTCGGTTTCGGTAAATGACTCTAGCTGAGAGCACAAGTAAAAAGTCCAACATGTGCCCCAGCTAGCGGCTGAGAAGTCAGGGAACAGGAGGGGCTGGTCCCATTTGAAATGAGCCTGATTAACCCTTTCTCAACCCCACCCCGCATGCCGCATATCCCTTTAGCACAAATCATTAACCCTTCGCCAGCTGATCAGTAGCCAGGATTCACCAGTGTTCCCAAGACCCCAGTCTCACTAGAGAGCTCACCTGAGACCTGGGGTCACTAGTGAATCGGCATAGGCCAGTCAGCAAGCTAGTACCTGATTAGTTGGCAAGAAGGTTATTTCTGGGTGGAATGTTCCCTCATAACAGTACCCCTAAGGACGGTCTCATCCCTTATGTCAATCTACTGACCTCTCTCTGCATCCATCCCACGTCCTTATCTTTCTCTCTGTCCATCACAGCTGAGCTGCCTACTCAGAGGTCCAATGAGTGCCCAGAGGCTCTCAAATTTCACCCTAAATCCATAACCATTTAGTGCTTCGAAAGTGATCTGTCAGGAACGGCTCATCAGCAATGTCATTGCCTGGCTCCTCTCAAAGGGCTGGGTCTCCCCAACAGGCTCTGCAACGCCTCCTCTCATCTCTTTCTCCTCCTCCCCCTGCAACCACCTCTTTCCCTCCCCCCCACCCCCGGCCTTCGCTATGTGTGACTGCTCCCCCTCATGGCCGGCCAGCACAACTTCAGCCGCTCTCTGCATTGGCTGGGTAGCCGTTCGTCGGGGTCCCCTCTGCAGACAGCTCCCCTTGCTGCGGCTTTCCCATGCCCAGGTTCACCCTGCCTGCCTCTTCCAAAGAGTGTTCTCTAGACCCAGCCTGTTGGGTCTGTTGGTTACCACAGCTCTGAACGGGGCACAATTCTCTTCACAATCCAGCTTTGCTGAGGCTCATGATCTGATATTGATCTTTGAAACCTGCCCTAGAATTCTTTGAATTAACATTTTAAATAGGAATCCTATTCACCATGGCTCTGCAACGTTAGGAAGGTTTGGAATTGCCCCCCAAATACGTCCTTAGCGTGGAGCATGAATCTACACACGAAAATTGCTGTTAAAATCAGAGACGGGAGAACTCCGCTGGCCATGGTTAGAATCCACTGGAAAATCACGACTTCTGCGCTGAGATCTGAATTCAAAGCTTTTAGGTTGAAGGTTTCATTTGGGTTCTAGCCTGCAGAGTTTTCCCTCCCCTTGTTGTTCTAGAAGCCACGATAAGAACTGCTGGAAAAAGAGAATCTTTATTCATAGATTTAATGGCCAGAAGGGACCGTTGTAATCATCCAGTTCTAGCCTGACCTGATGAATTGCAGGTGACAAAGGTGCTTTGCAGTCAGGTTATGGTTTGCATTGCACAGGCTGCAAGTTTCTTAGGGAACTTTTTACCCCACCTCCGTACCATCTACTACATTTCCCATGAAAAACAACACTTAAATGGGGGGGGGGGGGGAAGGAGAAGATGTTTGAAAGAGCCCAAATCAAACCTTGAACCATGAAGCTCATGGAAACACTAACCCTCTGCTGGATTTTCCCTTCTCTAGCTCAGATCGTAGGGCCTGAATCGGAGAGTTGAGATGCCAGATCAGGCTGTTTTGTTGGTGGAACATATAATTGCAAGTGGTGCATGCCGCTCCCACATGTTCATTGCTGCGACGGGAATGAGCTCCCGACTACATTGTGTGTGTCTTGTGTTGACAGCCAATGCTTTGTAAGAAACAGATTGTGCATGTCCAGCAAGCGCTGTAAGAATCAATGGGTTGCATATGCTTGGGGATTGTAATCTGCAGCAAAGTGTGATGTGCTCTGAGTGTAAAAGTCCATCTGGTGACAAAGGCCCTTGGTTCAGCAAAGCATTTCAGCTCATGCTTGAGTTCTTCCCTATTTGGCAATGCACTTAAGCCCATGCTTACTTTAAGCATGTGCTCACACTGTAGCTTTTAAGGCCATCTGACCTCCTTCACAGCACGGCCAGATAATTTCACCCAGGGATTCCTGCAATAAGCCTGGAACTTCTGTTTGAGCTAGAACATGTCTTTTAGAAAGATGTCCAGTCTTGGCTTAATTCCCACTGATGTCTAGTTACACATGAGCTTAACTGCTTTGCTGATTTGAGATGGGCTGATGAATTGTGGTCAAAGAGAGAGACTCATACTACTAAGAATTAACCTCAAAATGCTTTAAAATAGGTTCAAGTTTCATTTGACTCTAATATTTTTTTCATGTTCAGCATTACAATATATTGATTTAGATTTTTTATTATATATATATATATACACACACACACACCTATCTACCTACAGTATATATTTAAAAACTAGGTGCCAAATCAGAAAAATCCCCTAGTAATAACCTTTCTCAAAGCTGTGCTGTTCATGGTCTATTAATTTATTATTATAAAGTAAAGAGAATAACTTTTCTAATCCATTTTTACAAAGAAAAATGCACATACAGAGTATAAGAAGTGTAAGAGAGATTAAAAAGAGACAGTTGTGTTTATTTAGTATATTTTCTTAAAAGTGAATTTGCTCCATATTCTATTATTCTATTTATTGTACTGTACTAGGGGAGGCAGTGTGGTTTAGTGGCAAGAGCAGAGGCCTAGGAATCAAGAGACCTGGATTCTGTTCCCACCTTTGCCACTGACCTGCTGGGTGACATTGGGCATGTCACTTCACCTTTCTGTGCCTCAGTTTCCCCATCTGCAAAATGGGTGTAATGGTACTTAACCCAACAGAGTGCTCTGAGATGGACCGATAGATGAAAATTGCTATATAAGAACTATGTATTATTATTATTAGATTATATTCCATGCTCGCTGCACCTTCACAAAGCTGCAGTTGATGCCTGCAATAACTTCCATTTTGCACCACGTTTCTTCATATCTTCCAGTAAGCGGAAGCGAGGACACGGTCCCATAGCCCTCACTTACTTGTGTAGTTCCAGGAAAGTCAACAAGACGAGGCACGTGACTAAGGCTTGCTCATGGGGAAAGGGGTTGTAGCAGTCAAAGCTATGATGCTGACCCTGCAATCTTTAGACTGTCAGCTCTGCCTTCTTGTTATACAGCTCTTCAGCACCTAACACAGCAGGGCCCCAATTCTTGACTGGGACCTCTAGGTGCTACCACAATATAAATTAATAATAATTGAGTCAGTGGGGACTGCAGGGTCAGGTCCTGTAGAGAGCAGGGAAGCCCCATTGCTGTAATAATGAAACACCCATAGCCTGGGTTTTGACCCTGAAAGGACGGAAACGATGAGCTAAAATGGGCGATTTTCTTTAAGAATCAGTTTTTAAAGAGGTAGCATTCAAAATGCAAGAAGGCGACCAAATCTTGTCCTGGCATCACAGAAGAAAACCTGCAACAGATTTCTCGCCATCTGCCTCCCGGCCAGGAGGACTCCAGACTCTTTGTGAGGAGAAGTACCTTGCTGCTCGAAGGCCATCGCTGCTTTCATGTTTGCTTCTATTCTAGGGCCTGCTGGCTGTTGTCTGTATCACTGACATGACATATTATACATGTTAATAAAGTTTGGAGATTAATAACAGATCCCACAAAGTACTCCTTTACTACTCTTCAGCAGCTGGCTATCGTACTGTGCATGATATTTTCATCCTGCTCCTGTTGCATGAGGGTTAGAACACCAGGGACCTGCTTTTACCTCACTGGGTAGAACTGACGGAAGGCAATATACATTGTTGCAACGGATGTTCAAGCCTTCACCTGCATTTAGTTCCCGTGTCTGGAGACAGAGCTGTATGAAAGAGCATCTTGAGAGCTGCTAGTGGGAAGTGAGTATACGGCACGGGGTACTGGAGTGGTGCTGCGGTGGTAGCATGTCGTCTCTGGACTGGAGGAGAATCAAGGTCACAACTTGAGGGTAGAACTGATGTAGAGGGTGTCATGTGCTCAGCACCATGCCTCTCTCCAGAGTGACCTCCTTCTGGTCAATGCTCAGAGCACCATCAGTGGGCAGCCTTGTAACCTTCTCCTCCAGCCCAGGCTGTGACATGGGGCTCTTGATGGCTTAGATAAAATCAGAGCCAACCCTAGTCAATATGGGTCCAATAAATATTGATATTGCCCTCAGCATCTGCCAATATCCATTCATTATCCGCATTTCACAAATGACAAACTGATGCCTCGAGAGATGAAATGACTTATACCCAAGCTCACGTACAGGGTCGATGACCGATCCAGGAAGAGAAGCCAAAAGTCCTGACTTAAAATCCCCTCCTCTAACACTAGACCATGATCTCTTTCACTTGGGTTTCTGGTGAGGATGGTTCACCCTAGCTCCTTCCGTGGCCCCACAACAGGGTCTATTCAGCCCTGCTCACTGCTAAGTATGGGATGGCTTTAGAGCCCTTGAGGTTCCTGACGGGACTGGTGGTGTAGAGCTCAAGCGCCACTGTGCTTCCATAATACCCCCATAAATGGTGCCTGGATTCACCGACTTCCTGGCGTTTATGCATCAATTTCACTCACCTCTCCTGCCGGTGGCTCATTTCAGGACAGTTGCTGCTTATCTTTCTCTAGCCCCCATCCAAGGCAGGCTAGGAAAACACCCAGAAATGCACTGGCTGTCAGGTCCAATTGCGTAAACTGCAGGACAAGACATGGCAAGCAGAGTGCAGAGCGTGACAGAGAGTGAATACAGCTTGCCCTGTCAGATCAGCTTATCGTAGCCGATTACAGAGAG